GGAAAGAGAAGTGGGTTTTTTTGCTTCGCCTCCCCCTCGGCGTCCATCCGTTCGCTCTTTCGCTTGTTCGTTCATTCATTCTTGCGTTCAGGTCTTTATTCATTCATTCATCTATTCGACCATTCTTCCTTCCTCCTTCCCTTCTTCGTATTTCTTCAGAGTGGCTGTATCGAGGTTGCGGCAAATGCGACTATTTAAAAAGGTGTGTGGTTGCTGATTCACAGTTTTGGAGGTGTGAGGAGGTGCTTTCTTTCCTTCGTTCGTTTTTCTTTCAAGTTTGGGTCGGAAGGTGTTTTTTACCAGCCTTACCATAGAAGTAGCTAATTTTTTTAAAATTTTACTCCCACTTTGATGATTAATTTGTTTGTGGTATATTTTCTTCCTAAGTTAAATGTAAGGTGGTTAATACAGGAGTCTAACCTGTATCAAGAAATAGGATCGTCATTTTATCACCTCCCCCATCTGTATGCTCAAACACACATCCATTCATTCTCCTATCACATGTCCGTTCATCTATCCACCCACCTTGTGGTCATCCTACCATCCTTCTATCCATCCATCCATCCATCCTGTATCCATCCATCCATCCTGTATCCATCCATCCTGTATCCATCGATCCATCCATCCATCCATCCTGTATCCATCCATCCATCCATTCTTTTAAGCGCTTCCTATTAATCAATAGATTATGTGTTTTCTGTGTAAATATTGTTTCTCGCACAATCAAGTCGCCCTCAAAGGTGTTTTTTGCTTTTCTTTAAATTTAGGCGGAGCGGGATGCACCAATTTCTTTAAAATTATCAACAGTTGCCTTTTTTTCTGTGCAATTTAACTGGAATTTTGTCCAGAAAAATTAATTAATCTTGCAAACTTCTCGTCTATGCAACCGCCGTACAGTGGTGTTTGGCACCACTATGGAAATGACTGAAAAATTTCGTTCATGCTTTCACAAGCGGCGATTGCGTTTGGGAGGGTGAAAACAAATTTAAATGCAAAATTCAACGATTTTATCAAAAAATTTTTATGCATTAACCTATGCAATACCGAATGCGATCTTCATTAAAATCTTCAAAAAAAAGGAATAAATAAGTTTCAAGAATTAAAGTGGTCAAAATCTAAGTTGAGGCTACTTTAACGATTTCCATAATTTTTCCTTGCATTTTATAAAGGAAATTAAGAAAACCACTCGTGTTTTAAATGACTATTCTACGATAATTTTTGATTTTATAGTTCAAGAGTCTAACATTGTTTAAAATTTCCAGACGATTTTTACCACAACGAAATGGAAAAATCGCTATGGAAATTGCAAGACATCGACGTGGTAGTTGAAAGGGTAGCTTGATATTGCTTTCTCCTTTAATCTAGTCTGGGTTTCCTGTTTGCCCTTTTGATAGTCCATTTGATTGATTCATTACCCAAATCTCAGCCATCCCTTATTGTTCAGGCGCCTTCCATCCCTCAACCGTGGATGTGAATTCACTTGATAGGAGGAGAGGCACATCTCAGTCAAAAAGCTCATCGCTTTCTGAGTTAATTCGGTTGAGGCCTTGGCCACAAATTAATTAGCTAACTAATCTCACTATCTCCTTGTTCTGTGTTGTCCTCTCAGGCGAAAAGAATGCACTCAAACCCCATGAAAATACGCCTTTTTTGTTAAAGAGAGGACAAAACCCGTTGGGGCGCGGGAATGATTCACGTCCGCCTTCCATTCATCTCTCATCTCTACATTCAGTCGTCCATCCAGGAAATCGTCCATGTATTCATCCTTTTATCCATTCCGCATCCATCCACTCGGTATTCATTCATCCACCCATCTGTCCGTCTGTCCGTTCTTGCTTCATCAGAGCCTAAATGAGTTCTGAAAACTGGTGTTTCTCTTCTCCACAGCCAAGTTAAAAATGTAGAGATTTTCTCAATCAAAATATGATTGTTGGTCTGAGTTGCTTTTTTAATCCCTGGTTAACAATTTATTTATTTTAATAGGAATTATGCTTCGTTTGGCCATATTTTAGCCGAAATTGACCCCTAACTTCACGAAAATATTTTTTATGAAAGAATTTTTTGTGTAAGTCTTGATGACGAAACAAAAAATTTATTGAAATCGGTAATTAGCTCAGTGCATCTAATTCTAAAACCCATCTATCACTTTACAAAGGGGGATGTTGTAATTAGGGAGTTTTATGACGAATAAAGGCACTTGGTGAAGTGAACTCAAAACCCAGACATACAAATTGGCTTAAAGTAAATTGTCGGCTTGTGCTTCTTTGTACAGCCACCCAGAAACTTCAATAACTCATCGACCCTTAAAGAAGCAAATGCCGTACCGCAAGTTATGAGTCACCAGAAGAGTGTAACGCCCAAAAATGTCATTGGCTGCACTTGTCATAAATGCTTTAGAAAAACGGATTCTCTTGAAAGGCCTCAGTGACTCATTGGTATGAGAATGAGAAGAATTAGAAAGAAGAAGGGAGGTGGAGGGAAGGTCAGTTTTTACCTCTGTACCTCCGATGACGCATGCCATCATGCGCAAATCCGTAAGCACTTTTCAACCACGGTTGACGCCCACGGACTCAATTGAAGTCGCTTCCGACCAGACCGTAGCGCAGAAGCGTGGTTCCCACGACTTCGGCTTCCTCCCAGCCTATCCTAGATTGTTTCCAGACTTTCACTTTTTAGTCAAGTTATCTCTTTGAAAAAATTAAATTAATTTAGCTACGCAGATAGGATAAATTAGAAATGGAATTTTCGCTTTGTGTATGCCAAAAAATTTACTAATTGTGGAGCGATTTAACCTTCCATCTTCTACAAAATAACTACACTTCCCAGTCAGCTGATCAATCGATAAGCACTGGTCAATTAATCAGCTGGTTTACACGCGCGGAGAAAATCGATATTGATTTGTGTATCGCGTAAAATCAGCTGGAAAACTCATCAGCTGATAGAGTAGCATGGAGGGAAATTTAAAATAGAGTGCAGAGTAGAGGAAAATAAAGCTAAAATTCAATTAAAATGACCCGTAGACTAGTTTAATTATAAGCCACCTTAAAATTTGGATCATCGGTCCGACTTTTTAGACAAAAAAGCCGTTTAAAATTTTTGTTTGGACGTTACTCTAGCGGTAACGAGGTTAGTTTGTTTCAAAGAAGTGGCTGGTGGGGATTAAGAGGATAAAACCCTCTAAGTACGAAGGGGATGTTGGCTTTTCCCACAAAGAGTTGACTTTCAAAGGCGGCTCATTAAATCCTAAGGTGACTTTGATGTTTGCTATGGCACTGTTGAGGGCAAATATCAACAAAGAAACGGCCGTCTATTTACCAAGTTAACGATTAAAATAGCACTTCTTTTGAAAGCATTAAACTTTCTAATTTTGTGATTTAAATACAAGTTCTCTGTTAGCCTATTTGGCTGACGAATGTATTTTTTTAGTAAGCAAGTGAGAAATCACATTAATATCTACAAGCAATTGAATTAGCAGATGTCTGGATGCCAGATTCTGGACAAAATCATTCATTCTAAATTATTTCTGCGTAATTTGATAGATGTAACGTTTCGACAACTCTTTTAGTAGCAAAAGTCCGCATGCCCTGATTTATGATGTTACGTGTCTGCAGTAGAAAATAAGTGCTTGTCAATTGTCTAATAACCTCCACATTACATTGAGAGCATTTGAGGCTGCAAATTATATTAGCTTTTCGCAAAAATGCAAGCAAATAATAACATGAATTCTTTCTAATTGAAGAAGTTGCAAATTAACAAGTCGTTGCCACGATTTATCAAAAAGCTTATGAGATTTCTTTGAAAGTGCCATATAAAACCTTACTACTTGACTAAACTTTCAGACAATTGGTCCGTATAACTTGATTTCACACCTGAGCATTTATAAATGACACTTACTTTCTTCCTTTGTAAGTGAAAGCAAATAATGAAAACACTATTACATTGTACATAGGATTAATCTCTTCTAATCCTCCTATTAATTTCCCGCAGATCGCCGAAGTTGCTACAATGTCGAAGTGCCTACAATCAGTCATCTTACATGCCATACCGCCTGACAGAGGCCTCGATCAAAATGGATAGTGGCTATCGACTATGCAGTGAACTCAATTCTATGCAAAAAAGTGCGTAACTACTGTTTTTTTCTTTTGCCATAAAATTTCATTCTTATCCACTTAAATCGTGAAAAATTTAGCATTTTGCATATATTTTATTGCTTCAACAATCCTTGGCCTGTGATTGGTCGAATCACCGCATTGACCACTTTTAAACCAATCAGAATCATCCATGATTCCTGTACTTTTTGCTTGTGCACTCGCCAAACAAAAGGCGTTTTTTGTCCACGTTTAAAATTTGCACTAACGTATATTCCTAAAAAATGAAATGTATGATGAATTTGGATAAATTTTCGCAAATTCGCCTCAAAAACTTGTTTTGAATACACGAAATACCTTTTGCAAAGAGTCGCTCCCATCCACATGCCCTTGCTCAGCTCACAACCAAAAAAAGTAAGCAAGTCCACCTCTTTTCTGATTGGTCGTCTGAACTGAAAGTAGCTCCGGAAGTGCTCTTTGGGCTCGTCTTTTTTTGCGATTTGTCTGCTTGATCGCCTGTGCGCGCATGTACTCACGGGCTTGTCAATCGTGGGAAGTGAAGACTTCTCTCTTGCATGAGGAATCTGATTGGCAGAATAAGTGGATCTCCAGCAAGTAGTAGACAGTTATACTACTTTAGGAATGTAGATAAGAAAAACTTGTTGGGTGGGAAAACTATTTCGCCAGTCCTGAGGAGGCCATCAATTTGTAATTCTCAGAAAGTAGTTTCCTTCATGGGGGTCTCAGTGTTCGAACAACTTCTGGAGGTATTAAAAGATACATGAAGCTGGGCGTGGCCAGCTATTCGGGGATGACTTTCTGAGATCCTGTAAAATTGGCCTGAATAAAGTCTTGCAGACTGTTCTTTGATAGATACCCTTAATTCATTACTAATTCTGACGTAGAACCAATAATTCTAGACGGTTCCTAGGAGATTCTAGGCGGTGTTGGTGGTGATAGTGCTCTGAGTCCGCCCCTAATCCCCATCAATGCATAAAAGAGTAGGGAGAAAATGTACCATTTGCCCACGGAAGGGGTGGAAGGCTATAGACACAGCAATCCATCCATCTCGCATTCATCCATTCCATCTAACCAAAGTGAAAACTATGGAGATTGTACAGCCCGCATAGATAAATCTGCAACTAGGCGAGCACTAGATAGTTTTATTCTCTTTGTAGACGTTGTTTTCTGCACTTCTCTTTATTATCTTTTTTTGTTTTCGGCACTGTAGCTTAGTCAGTGCCTGAAAAACCACCCATAAGCCAAGAGTAGAAGTTATTAAAATTACATGGAGAGCAGGAAGCATTGTATTTCCTCATCGTTGGTGTACTTTGTCAATTCTATTGTATCCGTAGTTTTGTGCTCCTTTTGAGATGTTTTGAAGTGGAGAGATTCGCTGGTCCTCTCTCTCTTTTCCCCTGCAATTCCACGAACAGAGTTACAATGGACATTTTCAAATCGTCTATGTTTGACGCCTCCTCGGTTGTTGCTTGCTATTATTCGGAAAATGAGATTGGATTGATTACAAAACACCGTTGTGGCTCTTTCCTATGGCGGTGGAATTGAGTCAGACAATCAGTCCATGATATCTGGATAGATGTCCCTTCGGATCGGGTTAGCTTTCCACGAACGTTGTCTTCTCGGCGTCTGCAAGATGAGCTTATAGAAGAGGTGAAGGACTATGGGGGGCTACAGAAGAGCCATCTCGTCCAGCAAAGGTAGAGCCATCATATTTCATCTATTGTTTCACTTGACAGTCGACCTTCTGACCTTAATGATTCACAACAAAGGCCTTGTTTCCATGGTACCTGGCCGATCCACATATCTGAAAGTTTTCGGGGCATCAATAAAAGAGGCTGCCACTGTTTGGAAGGCGTGAAAAGTGTCAGGCGTACTTCATTGTAGCCTCTGATTAACCGCCGAGGACGATTGAAGGTGTACGTCTCCGGAAGTGACTCTGTGCACGCAAAGCACAGAGGGGTTGGACGTCTAGTAATAGAACCCCGCCACACTGTCGCGGTGACCAAATAATGCCAAATTAACTCTGAAAAGTCACTCTAAGAGGGACTGTGCACGAACCAAACCCCTGCCTCGTTAGGTTCAGAAGAAGTAGGAGGCGTTAATCGAATAATCAGCGCCTCTGCCTCTTGTGTAAAAAGGAGTTTCGGTTCTTTTGTGGATGACAGATGCTTTTTTATGAGTTTGGCAACTGTTTTGAATCCACGTGCGTCATTTTTTTGGTTTCGCTGGACATACCTCACGCAAAGGAGGGAGACAGAGACGGAGGCCATAGCTTCTGCTCGGCTGCTGTGTCATCGTGTTTTTTTACTATCACTGTTGGCCCGACAAAAAATCAGCAAACGAGGAAGGCAGCAAGCAAGCAAGTCAACAAAAAGGTAAACAGACCAAATTTTTGGACAGGGTATAAGAAAGTTGGATGTTAGACCACCAAATCCATAATTAAATGGTTATCTCTGAAGAGGTATGAATGAAAGTTCTTCACATCAGGAGCTTAACTGAAGTTCCGTTATACTACATTAACGCGTACATGGCATCAGGTAGGCAGAAGAACATCTCCCACTTCGAATAATCCCCCCTAGACTAAGAACGTTTCACGTACATTTGACATTCTTTTTCTGCAATTCGCCCTATCTTTTTGTGACACATGATCCGATGCAATCAGTTGCCAGGACGTGGTGAAAACACATGCCACATGTTTATAATGTCAGGGTGGGACAAAAAATCGAGGTGTTCCTTTCAGTTGACGTTGGTAAAGCAAAAGCTAGGAAAAATATTTTCATAGGCAATGAGGTAAAATGTAAAATTATAAATCAAACTCCAACATAAGTTTGAGACCTTTGAGTAAATTGTTTGGAGGAGCTTCATTTCATATTTTTTTGTCAATTAATTTAGTCTGTAGTGGATTGGACTTGAGAAATATTCCCTTTTGTACATTCCGATCTACTTTTGAAAGAAGCGAAGATGAAGTCTTCTGCGTTTCCCCCTTCTTTCAAAAACCGAATCCCTTTTTTACTATTTAAAGGACTGCGGTTGAGTATTTTCATTTGGGATTTCGGCAAATGTTTTTCAAAGCCGTTTTGTTTAAATCGATGACTCGTCTGTGTAAACGACCAAAAGGTTAAACATTAGTTTGTTAATATTTTCAAAATAAGATGCACAGCTTTTCACTTTTTCAGTTTGGGGACTAATTCTTAAAATGTTATGGTTTTCCATTGTAAGCCAACTTTTGAACAAAATGTGTTCAATTCTTAATAAAATTAACTTGGTGTAAGGGCTTGCATTTACTCGAACGAGACGCCCTTGAAGATGCTGCAAGGTAATACTTGTGTAAAATCCATGTATTGTCGACTTACAGAAGGGCTTGGAAGCTACCGGCAGGGCCTAGAGGCCAGGCCGCCCGACATGGGTGCAATAGCCGAGGCCCCATGTTCCTCATTGCTAAAACCGTAAGTTAAGTAAACGATTAAGTTATTACATACGGGCTCTTTTTTTTCGGGAAAAAATATAGTGACGTAAAAGAATGGAATTGTAAGGGTCCTTTGAGTTGGTTTTAAGAACTCGGTAAAGAAAGACTTAAAGCCTATAGATTTGTCTTTCGTCAAGACAAAATTCGCTTCAGAATATTCCACCCACACGCCTTCCATCCTACCTACCTGTCCACCTGCAATCCACACAGCGTCCGCTTTTTTATGCGTTCGACAGTGCATATCACTGTACTATTTTCGGTGCGTGAAAAGTTTGGAGGCAAAAATCCATTACTTTTAAAAGGCCTTAAGAAATAGCGACCTAATTAAAACCTGGGCACTTGTAGGGAAAAGAATTATAAGCGGACGGGAATCTGGAGTTCTGGACGTCGTTTTTCAGTTCGAGACAATGTGGATCTGGCATTCAGCGAAGTCATCTCTCCTTGCGACGTCTTATTTGTTTTATTTATTAATAACCCAGGCGTCGCCCAACCAACCTGGTCCATATTTAACGATTAAAGGTGTGTCTTTATTCATTCGTTTGTCCATTTAGCCGTCAATCTTTCTGTGAGGTTACATGAGATCTGTCCAAAACTGTGCAGAAATTATTTTTTTAGATGTATCTAGCGTGGATCAAAGGATCTGTCTTGAATGACTTCGCCTAGCCATTCGTATATCTACGTTAAAAATACCCACAAAATTATTTGTCCATTCGTCATAATTTAAAGCATTTATCTACGACTACAATTTACTCAGCTATCTATAATGAGTTCACCCTTGTCTATGACAAATGTACTCATCCCATCCATCGATCCTGCATCCATCCATCCACCTATCCTATATCCATCCATCCATCTATCCTGTAGCCATTCGTCCTGTATCCATCCATCCTGTGTTCATCCATCCTGTATCCGTCCATCTATATATCCTCTGTCCATCCATCCATCTATCCATCCTGTGTTCATTCATCCATCCTGTATCCATTTATCCATCCAATTATCCTACATCCATCTATCCGACGTTCCCATGCCAACGCTGTATAAACTACTCAAAAGTTCTAGTGAAATAATGCCTTGTTTGAATGACAGGCCCATTTTTTTCTCTGCCGCAGTTCTGCCTGAACGCTGATGCAGTTTGCAGATACATGCACGTTTGTTTAGCTGGACAGTAAATCGTCCACGTACCGCCACAGACCACACTCATAGATGTTAACAATGGCCAGCGCCTTTTATCGCTTCTCTTTTAATGTTCTCTTGTGCACAAGTTGGCCACATTAATCAAACCTAATGCACAAAGCGCCACTTTGTAAATGTTTATTAAGCACACTTCTATAATGGCGCCTCGGAGAAGTTAGCTCCACAGCACTCCTGGCGTTGTATTGCAATAAACTCCGCTAACTCCTGGCTTCTGCGACAACTTTGCCATTTATTACGCTTAACTGTGGCCAATTTCTTTCACTACATATCATAAAAACGCGGATAGAGTTATAAAAGTGTTCTCCTCTCTTCCAAGACCTTCTATTTGCATCTTTTCACTGGGCACCAGTGTCACTCAGGATGATAGTATGTCTGGATTTGGTTTGACATCGTCAAAAAAGTGATCCGCCTCCTTCTATCATCTCCATTTCACTCTTTTTTGTGGAAAGTGGGAAGGGAAGAGGGAAGGATGGGGAAAAAAATTGTGTACTAGTTTTTAAGATCTTTTTTAAGGCCTTTGAAAAGCCGAAAATGCGTTCTGACATTTCGTCCACCTTAAGGTCGAGATTTGTCAGAGCCATTGACACATGTATGGAAGTATTTGGTAATGAAGAAATCAGTCTTTTCCACATTTGAGTGTGTTTTTAATTGTTGAAGTCTAGCGTTCAATCAGGTAGGTTTCTGATTCCTTCATGCATGCAATTGCTTCCACTCTCCAGTGTCTGAGGCAGAAAAATATATTTTTTTGTGCAGTCAGAGTGTAGACGGGGAGCAAAAATTCTCCTCGGAGGTGAATTAAGGTCTAAAGGAGAGATGAAATCGAGATGGACGACTTATTACAGAGTGGATGTATGCGGGAAGGAATATATCGATGCTTGAATGCATGGATGGACGACAGAATGCGAGAATGCAGGATGAATACAAAGCAGACTTGAATCATCCCCATGCCGTAAATAGTTTTATCTTCGCTTTGAAAAAAACAGAAAAACGTGTGTTTTCTTGGATTCGGAGTGAATTATTTTCGACCAAAAGGGCAGTGCAGGTTAACGTGATAGTCCACGATTGATGCTACTTTAACTAATTAGTTTATTTCTGGCCGCGGATTCAGTCCAATTGGCTTTACGAGGGAAGAGTTGTCCCACCCCTCCTGGCAGGTGATTTTACACCTGCAATTTGGAGTGGAGGAAAGGGATCCATCAGAAAAGGTGTCAAAAATGGCAAGTCGTAAGGGTTGACAGTGGTAAAGAAAAGTAAAATATCAAAATACCCTTTTAATCACAAAGACTATGTCCTACATCAAGCTGCTGTGCTTGGAAACCAAAGTTTTTTGGCTCTCTTGATGTTCAGACCTCTACGCCTAGATTAAAAAATGTCAAAATTGTGGTTAGTTCCATTCATGTTTTTTTTACTGACGTCACTTGTCAATACTCATTGATTAAATTGAGGTGATGAAGGCGAGAAAAAATCGTCTCAAAGCTTGTAATTTTTTGCAACGAAAGAGTCACTTTAATGGGAGTTATTTCACTCCAAAATAAACTTCGATTTTATTTAGTGGACATCGTTATCCAACCTCACTCACCTACGCCATCCATACCTGTTTATTGTTTACCAAAAACGTTTAATATGATTAAAGACTGAGGAAATACTTTTCTTGCTTCTCCTCCTTCTTTAGTTGTTTCACGTATTGTTTGACATTTATGACGTTGTAAATCAAAGTGACTTTGAAAACTTTAAACGTTGCCATGGTAACTCAATTAATTCGTTAACACGAGTTTAATTACGTTGATTAAGGTACAAAAACCTTCTTTTAAAGAATATCTGCTATTTTGAACTTTTTAACCTGAGTAGGAGGAAAAGCGGAATTCACACCTTCAGTGGTGATACAGGGGAAAGAATGGTAGTGAAAAGCAGAAAGGATGAAGAGAAAAATTGGATGTAAAGATGGAAAGTCATATTTGGGTCTGGATTTATAGATCTGTGGATGCATGAATGGATCCGTAAATTGTGGAATGTGTGAATCCGGAGTGGATGGGTGGGAACTGCACGAAACAATTTATTAAAAAGTAAAACGAAATTTGGCAGATACTTACGCTCACTTTCGGGGATTTTAGCTAACTCACTCATCTTTAAAACACACAGAGATATCGACAAATAAATCAACTAAACATCGGTTGCTTTAGCAATAAAAAGTTAAGTAAACCCTCTTACAAGAGCAGGGACCATGAATCTACCACGTCATGCGGTAATTTTTAGTATATGTTGAGAAAGTGTGCCGAAAGCGGGAAAAAAACGAGCCAACGAAAGAAGGCATTTCACTACACTTTTGAAATCGTGACTCAGCTACCAGTTGCGTTTTACAATGGGTGCTTTTGCGGCAAGTCCGATGCAACCGCTTTGAAGCAATACGAAGGAGGAAGGGAGGCGGGACGGAAGGAAGAATGCTCGAATAGATAAATGAATGAAGAACTGAACACAAAAACGAACGAACGAATGGATGCGGAGGACGAGGCAGAGCAGAAAAAGCCACTTCACCCTTC